AATAAGCAGCAGAATACCATCAAAATGATTGCTTAAGATCCCGGAAAAATGATACAAAAAAGTTTTTGTAATAACCTTAGAACTCACTGTTAACTGCAATCCACTCGTTCAGATTCTCGCCGTTAGGCAGTTTAACAGCATCACGTAAATTGCTACTTCCTAAAGTAGCTGATGCGTACTGTTGTAGGTCAACAGGTGTTTCCAAATTTTTTTTCCGTTGCTTACTCTGTGCGGCATTACTCATTCTAAAGTAGAGGCTAAAAACACAAACAAAAAAAAAAAAATCAAAACCGACAGTCTAAATGATAAAACACATGCCACTGCGTGAAAACTTAAATAAATTCCAGTGAAACAAACGTGTTCATGACTGCAAATTGTCAGCGTTGGATGTTTTGAACTTTCGGGTTGGAATCTCATACAGCCCATGTGGTACGGAAAGTATGAATAGCTTACATAAAAAAAAGCAACATAAAAGCAAAAAGCAAAAACAAAAAAATGTCAACTAATTTGGCAAAAAAATCTAAAAAGGGTGAAGACGTTGGGTAAAAGTTTGTGGTATAGTAAAACAAAGAAAGAAGAATAAGAAGAAGAAAGACTTCGACGACGATATGACAATAACGGCTACAACAGGAAAAAAAAAAAAATGAAGTTATAAAACGAATAGAAAACCAGAAACCGGCAAAAAATTTATATATATCCTGGTAAATACATTTGCCTGAAACTCCAACCTCGATAAAATATCGAGACCCGTTTAAATGGAAGCTGCGGTAATCAACTGCAAGTCTTGAAATGCGGTTATCCACTTGGTCAAATCAAATTTGTACTCGGCACTTGCACAGTGCACAGAAAAATGCTTCGATACTACAAACCTAGTAAGTTCAGCTTCAGCCATCACCTAATATTCAAACACATCGGCGAAATGGCGGTCCCCTTTACCGTTTTAGGTAATTCTGGTGTTAATCACTAGGTTTCCTCTAAAACATGGAGGGAACTACTTCACTGATTTGGCGAAATTCCAACCCCGCATATTTTTCCGTTTGCCACGACAAGTCAGTGTTCGGCGAACGGTCTGTAACGATCATTGGTTTCTGTATTGTCTGTAGACCCCTTAACAGTGTCATTTAAGTTTAGGCACTTGATTAGATGACCGTTCATGATGTTATTTTTGTTCTTATTGCCAAAAGAAAACCGTTAACTTCTTTTCAACACTTTAAAATAGTTAAAATAATTTATGCGATATTATATTAGTATTGCTTTTTTTTTTTTGCATTTTTCTATCAGAGCGGCTCACTCGATTATTTATTTATTTTCGCAAACTTACTAAAAGGGCACATATCTTAAAGCGAAAATTAAATCAACAATTCTGAGATGGATAAAAAGGAAGAGTTTACGCGCACGATAATTACAACTTTCTCTTTCATGATCTTTATGTGTGAGCTCTTGCGATTTTAAAACTTTAAATCACTCAATAAAAACCTTTTGAGCGATAACAAACAATTTTAAAAAAGTGTTGATCAAAGTTCTACTTTTCAGCCGTTGGAGCAGACCCCTATATTTTCTGAAATTGAAAATGAGTCGTCCAAATGATGAAAGTTGTCATTGAGGAACACTGCCTGAGAACAACTTTTTTGGATGACTGAATTGAACGGTTGAGTACACCAAAAAACATTTCATCAGTATTTGTCCAATCGATTCAACACTTATAAACTTTTAAATGCGTTGGTACTTGTTATAGGCCACCTGGATGTGATTTATGTTCAAGAAATAATATTAGAACAAAGGGATAATGAAAAAAGTTGCAGAAGTAACGTTATTGGCAAATGACGGAAGACAGTAACAAATTGACTACTGTGAAAGCCTTTATCCATAACGGATGAAAAAAGAATCGCGAAAAATTGAGTCATCTGAATTTCGAAAAGCAAGAGAATTTTAAGTAAATTCGTTTCCAATAAGTAATGCGAGTGATGCACGTTATGCTTGTTGCCTAGTGTTTAGGCCAATAATGAAGGCCTAAATTTGCAATTCAGGTCTTATTCGCGTAGTCTGCTTCTTCTGATAAGAAAAGTTCAATTCTGGTATAACCCACCATTTTTTTATTGGTCTGACGTTGTGGAACTCGGTCAGTGACCATTAAACCGGCATGAAAGCTGTTATCAAGTACTGCTAATGTAGTGAAGATAAAGCAAAGCAATTTAGAGTAATGTTTTTTAATCTCTAGAAAAAGAATATGGAAGTAGTGTAATATAGCTGGAATGAGAATAAGCAAATGGTTAACACATTTTAGTGCTCTATGGGAAAAAACTAGAAGAATTCCAGCGTTGAAACATTGTTTTACACTAAACACGTACAAAAAATGGCTTCCAAAGGCTAAATAACTACAATTTTAATACTTCACTGAAGACCCAAACCATTTATATGATAAATCGGCAACAAAAGCGTTTGAGCAAAACAGAAGCACTCAACAACGAAAGGAACGCTAAAACCGAGAAACAACAACTGTCCTAACGAGCAAGTGGAAGAAGCTAGCGCCAAAGCAACAGAAAAAATGGACTTTAAAGCTTGTTCCACCGCTAATCATGATTACACGCAACCCCTATATTACTGAACTCTTATCAAATGTGTACCCTCACCGCATTCCCAAAACCAAAAAAGTGCCAATTGCCATCACTACTCACCAAGAAATTCCACTGCATGAGTCAACAAACCGGAAAATGGCGATTAAATCTTATTACCTGCTTTAGTAGTATTGCAACATCAAAAACTCTCAGTTCAAGAACTTGTTCGTGAGGATAGTTTGTCCTCACCCACCCGCTTCTCTCCACGTGCAGTTACGTCAACTACCACCCCTACATCCTACCGCCCTACTATTCAACTCCCACAAATATTTAATAAACCATAGTCCAAAAAAAAAAAAAAAAAAAAAAAAAAAAAA